AGACTGTTTAAAAGTTCATGGCTTATCATGTGTGGAGACATTTAGACAGAAACTTTTATATGCTGAGGTACACAAGTCATAAGATAAAGCATTAGACAAAGGGTATTTAACAAAAGAGTTTAGAGAATTATTAGAAGACGAGTGAAGCCGCTAAGACAAGCAAAGACTATAGTGATAATCTTGTAGTTATCTTGGAGGCATACATGGTCGTGAAGATCGACATACATTAGGTTGAAGGTCATTTGGGTGAGAGTCATCTGTTTGAGGGTTATCTGTTTGGTCATTTAGATGGGTGTTATTTGTTTGGGCTTTGTCATTTGAGTGGATATCATGTGGACATGTTGGTGTTTGGAGTAGGTTCATAGAGTTGAGTTGTATGGGAAGAAAAGGTTCAAGATCAAGAGGAACAGAAAAAATGTTTGGTGAGGTGTGTATGGTATGAGTGAGAGGTTAATGAAAAGGAAACTGATGTTCTAGTTGAGGAAATGCCTTAGTCACATTTGGTAGGGGATCAACTAGCATAATTTTTAAATATACTTGCGCAAACTGCTCATTAAATCCTCTCAGAAACCTTATGGTCTAGTCTCTCTCACGATAAAGGCGCATTTGCTCCACAGGTCCACATTCACAAGGGATTGCTGTTGGGCAAGTGGCTCTTACACAGGACACATACGAAACACCTAGAGGGGGTGAATAGGTGTTCTAAACTTTTTCTTAGTATATCCTTAAATTTGTAAAGTTTAGACAAAGTTGAACAATTAAGTTCAATCACCACACCAACTAACTAGTTGACAGAAATCAATTTATATTACTATTTGAATTCAGTAAACAATTACACAATTTTTCTTCAGTCCCTATATGCCCAAAATAATTTTTCACAATGCTAATAACAATGTAGTAACAGAATGCGTACCTTAGCAATTTATAGAGTATAAAAGCAGAAATGTAATTTTCTTAAACAAAACAGAAAAATATTAACTCTGCTACAACACTTTTTAACCAGAAATCAGTTTTACTTTAAGTCTCTAAACAGAATATCCAGAAATTAAATCAGAGAGACAAGAGACACACGATATATCCTGGTTCACACCCACTAAGCCTAAGTAGGGTGCTACGTCCAGACTGAAGTCGCTGCAGATATTTTATTTATCACAAGTGAACCTGTTTTACAAACACGCGTCACACAAGCAATCAAACAAAATATCAAAAACCTTCCTAGTGCCTACACTGCTCCAAGCTTTGAGAATACTCTCAAGCCGAACCTACGGAGTTCACCAACTCCTCTCACACAAGAATCCACTCTCCTTAGTGGATTCTTGAGGCTCCAAGCCTTGAGACTCACTCTCAAGCCAAGCACAAGGTTGCCAACCCACACGGTTGCACCCACACACCTATGACAGATTTACAGCACGCAACAACTCCACTTTAACAACCAATACAATATCTCAGATTTATAACAGAAAATTTATCAACCTATTACAATGTCCTATCACACTTGATATATCAAATAAGGCACAACAACAAGCTCCAAAATGATATGATGTATGCAGAAAATTTAGAGCACAAGTATATGTATCACAAACTATAAATTTTCAGCAATAAGGAACTTGTATTTATTTATATCAAGTATCTAAATGATGGACACTAAAAATTCTGCTTTAAACAGAAATTATCACACTATATCCAGAAAAATCAGAATTGTAATTTCTCTCAATATTTCACAAAAAATTCAGAATTAGTTCTAGATAAATCTTTTAGTAATAAACCACAAGAAATATGAATTTTAAGCACAATATACCTCAATTAAAACAAAAAATTCACATTTAATATTCCAACAATAAAATTTTTAGAACTATTCAAGATTAGGCTTCTAAACAGTGAATCTCACACAAAAATCTGAATTAACACAATGTATAACAAGCTGTAAAAGTAAATTCAGATTTGATATTTTTAATCAATATTTCACAAAAATTAGAAACACAAATCCTATACAAAGAGCATCAAGAATTCTAAAATATTCACTTAAAATCAAAACAGAAAAATCAGAATGCTCACAATATATCAAAAAGAAAACTGAAAATTAATTCAACAATATCAAGTTTCAAGAATATACCAAAGGATGATCAAAACAAGAATTAAAATATTACCTCAAGAGATCTCAAATTTTAACCAATGTAAAACAGAAAGTGTGGTTAGGGTTCTTCAACCTTAGTTTCAAGAATCTTGAATTAAATACTTCCAAATGGTTGAGAACTTATCAAAGAGCAGAGACGATGAGAGCTTTGAAAATATTCTTGCTTCCAAAACTATTGAGAAACTTTTGAAGAACACTGATGATGATAGAGAAAACGAGATTGCATTTTTTTCCGAGAGCGTAAAAGAAAAAAATGGGTACTATGAAAGTCTGAAAGATGTATATGTTGAGAAAGTTTCTCTCTCTTTTTATTATTATATACAACAAAATTCTGATCACTTTTCGATTTACGGGAAAGTTGCAATCGATTGCTTTTTACACTTTTTATAAAAGCTACTGATGGGTTTTATATTTTTATATATTAAAACCAAAAGTTTAAATATATATATATATATATATATATATATATATATATATATATATATATGTATCTATTAATCTCATGTTGAATGAGATAATTATCTCATGCAACAGAGATAAGATTGTGGAGTCCGTTATTTTTTCAAAAAAAGAAAAAGAGAAAAAATAATGGACCCCACTATTTTATTTCTATTGCGTGAGATAATTATTTCATGCAACATGAGATAATTATTTCCTATATATATATATATATATATATAAATCAATCAACGTAACAAATTGTGAAAAGAATGCTGTAGACATAGATTTTTGTTTCGTTTCTTTTTATATATATATATATATATATATATATATATATATTACTTTTAATTTTTGGTTTTTATTAAAATAAATTTTTAATTTACTTTTTTTTTTATTAAAACAGATTTTTAATTGATTTGGATTATATTTTTAAAGACATGTTTATCTAATTTTTTAATTTTTATTAAGTCACTAAACATAGCTAAATACATGTTATGCAATGAAATGCAATGGAGCTTGGAATCATGCTCAGTGATATATCTAATGTGTTACAAGAATCTAAAAATTATCTAACCCGAAACTTTAGCATCTTCAAAATGAGTTCTTCATGCTTTGACTTCATCAAAACCATTTAGGCATAACCTACTTGAATTTAGGAGGTCCTTCAATTGCAGGATTGGGGAGAGTATTCAGATTATCTAACTCGTCCCGCATTATTTTCAACTGAGTGAAATATTCACTTACAAATTTATCACCTTGAAACAACTTGTAAATGTCTTCTTGAAGATCAGAGATGAGAAACATGTTTGGTTGTGGAAATCGATCATGCATGTCTCTCCATGAGTCAGAAGCCTTCTCTATCCAAAGTATGGATTGAGTAATAGTCTGAGTAATAAATCTATGAATCTATCCTAGAACTATGGTGTTACAACGATCCCAAGCTTCCTATTTTGAACCATAAACTTCGGGAGGAGGATGATTTTCATTGACAAATCCAAGTTTGTTCTTGGATCTAAGAGCCATCGGCATTGCACGCCACCAGGAATGTTAATTACAACCATTCAATTGTGGAGTCACCAAGGTCTGTGACAGATTTTCGTTCGGATACAAGTAATAAGGATGAGCTGGATTAGTTAGGTATTTTGGCAAAGGAGCTTGATTCTATAGCCATGATAACGAACAAAGTACGAAGAACTGAAAGAAAGATAGCTAGACTGAAGATTATCAGCGGAAGAACATGATTACCATAGCCCAAAAATGAGCTCTGCTACCATCAAGAAAATGAGAGAGAAAGTAAAATACTCAGGAAAGAGAAAATGATTTTCATTATTGAAAAACTAAATCAATACAATACAAAGGTGATACATATATATAAGCACTAACATGTGCATAAAGAATGAACTAACAAAGCTAACTAAGCTTAACCAAATAACAAAATCTTCTAACAAATTATCTCAACAGAATAAGTCAGGTATCTGACGTGGCAACTGATCTATTGTGATTGGTTGGTTGTATACATAAACTGCATAATGGTTTTGCTACATTTAAAGGTTTCTGGACTTGGGCTTTGTTATGGGCTTGGTCTTTATCTCATAGTTGTTGGACTTGGGCTGCATCACTTGAAGCTGAAAAATTGTTTGTCGAGTATTATTAGCTATAACTTTGTATGACTCTCTTATATGTCAACTGAATTATCATTGAAAATTAAATTGACATCGTGATATTAAAATATAAGTTAATATTTGTAGAATTTTGGTTGTAAGTGCGTAAATACCTCGTAATATAGAGATGCAAACATTCTCATTAAAAAAACACTCACCCCAAACACATGAATCAATTGATAATGAATTATTTCAATTTAAACAGTGATCTCAAGTCCCTGTCCCGAGAATGCAATATGTTGTTAATTATTTTGCCCAAAATTATTTAAAAAAATTAAAATAAGGGGATATTTTGTGGTTTCATCTTTTCCTCTTGCATGTCAACTTGCGGCAAGAACCATGCGTTTCTTACTTGACTTTTAAACAAAATATGATTCTAAACACATCATTGACAAAAGCCCCAATTTTTAATAATTTGTTCATATAATTTATGATGCTTGAAAATTTTCAAACAAGAATAAATATAAAAATCGAAAAACTTTTGTTAAAGTTCTCACGTAAAAATCCGATTTTAATGCAATTGATAGAGGGTGTATCTTCTTTATCATGTTCACGAATTATTGAGACACAAATCAAATATCAAATTTAGATATATGATATAAGAATAAAAAAAATTAATGTAGGAACCATAATCCAGCTGAACAAAGAGACAACTACATATAAAGGTAACATGGTATTAAAATGGCAAAATATGGTTGGCATCAACATGAACAAGATTGATGATTGCATGAGGAAGCTATATGTGTTTCAATATCACAAATTCTTCACCGTTTGGTTGGATCTGAAGTTCTTAGGGAGTACTCGAGTGAGTTAGAAGCCTTATCAAGTACCGAACTCAGTGCCTGGTGAACAGAACTTGCAATGAGTTGACATGTCTCAATATTGCTACAGCAAGTATAAACAAACACATTCTTCACCCTGTCTCCCAAAATGGATAGTTCTGTTCTCACCAATTGTAGTTGAAGTGCATCAAGTGTTTTTCTTAGCTCAGATAGTAGCTCAGGTCGATAATCACAACAAACAGATGCCTTATAAGACATTGATCCATATCCTCCTTCTTCATCATCATCACATGGTTCTACTTTCACTTCATCAGTGTCCATTGGGATTAGAAAACCTTTGCTTGCTTCAGCTGCATTCTTCTTCAATTCCTTTATTTGACTAATAACTTCTCCCAGTAATGTTGCTTTATCCATCTAAGAATAACAGTTGACCCACCAAATCAAAGTCAACACAAATGTTTTCTCAAAGAATAAGGAGGATTATTGTTGTAAATAAAATAACAAGTGCGTGCGCTGTTCCTTCCTCGTATTTAGCAAACAAATTAATAAACTACAAATTGGATAGCCTATGTTGACAGCTAAAATCAGATTATCAAATCAACACATCTAGAATTGGTCTAGGATCATTATTATTATTTGCACTAAACACACCACAAAGACTATCCAATTTTACGAAGACAGAGATGAAGATTGATTATATACTATCTTATCCTTATACTTTTACAAAAAAATTATTATCAAAAATTTCTTGAACTTGAAGTATCAATATTGTACGGATCCACTTTTAGTTCGTAACCTGTGATCAGATAAGCTTTAATATCATGTAAAGCAATTCAACTAAATCGCTCAAGCTGGTAAGGGAATGTGGGGGCTGTTCTTATTTTACCGGAGGGTTTTGGATTGGCCCCTCCCGATCATATTTCGCCTGAACTAAAAGAAAAGATAGGTAATCTGTCTTTTCAAAACTATCGTCCTACAGGGCACTCTGGTGGGATCCTTACGGACAGAAAAAGATTGCAGTCAATTTGCTAATGATCGAGTGACATTGCTTTTTGGCTCCAACCAAGGAATCCCTTAAATACGATTCAAAATGGATCTTGTTCTATCGTTTATCAAAGATTTCTCTATGAAAAATATGAAGTGTCTTCAATAGTTTTATATTATATTTTTCTCTAACACGATTATAAGTCAAAAGCCAAAGAATTGAATACTCTTACAAATTATATATGATGATCAACTGCAGAAAAAGAAAAGCTTTTCCAATAGGAAGAAAATGTTAAGAAAAAGCCATGAATTTACCTCTTCAGTGGAAGGGACAAGTCCACGGAGTGTTGCAAGATGGCCATTAATTCTCTTCCTTCTCCTCTTTTCTGCTTCACTATGTCTCTTCAAAGCCGCTAAAGCTTTGGGCTCACAAATATTTTTCTGCCCTATAATTGAAGGTGACCTCAAAGGTTCTCCCTTGTCAATATTTACCAACCCACCTCTTGAAATCCAATTTAAAGCACCTGAAGTATCCGATGTGGGATTGAACACCCTCGAAATATCAGAGCCAGAAACCATGGTGTTGAGCTTTGTACTTGCAGTCATGCTGCTTCAGAAAACACAAGGTGATGGAAACGAAAAACAGATAGATATTATGAAGAGGGAAGCTTAATTTGGGAAAACTGATATTTTTGTTGGGGTTTGTAATTAATCATATATAACTTCAATTATGCAAGAGGACAATGTTGTAGACGATGATCAGTTAGAAAACATGCACATTTTTGTTGATGATGTTTTTGATCAAGTGCTTCAGGAAGATAAAGCTGATCACTACTGTTGAAGATGATCTCATATGGAGGAGAAACAAAGGCGTGATGCTTCCTCTATTTATAGTGTAATACTGCCGTCTATGCATGTAGGATACCATAAGAATATTCCTCGTAATAGATTTTTGGATTTGTTTAATTACGAAGCGTGTTTTTTTTATTAAATAATAAAAGTGGTATTTTTGGGAAGGGGGCTGAACCTTTAGCCATCACTGTTCCCCGCACTCCGGATTAGTCCCATAGTCGGCTCAAAGAGTCGAAGCTCGTGGGATACAAGAGGGAGCCAACTCATTTCAAATAGATAATTAGAGTTGGGTAACTCCAAAAAATAAAAGTGGTATTTAAATAAGATTACAGTTAATTACAAAAACGTATTTTAATATCATCATCCTAAAAAAATATTACCCAACTTTACCGGAGGCATGCTTTACTCTTGCAACTTGCCAGCACGGAAGCACCTAGTGGCTTTTTGACCGTAATAGTTCATTTTTTAAAGAGTTTGACTGAAGTAAGCTTTTATCAAACTTATTACCCAATTAATGCAGAGAAACGTGACACCTGATATGTTGCGTCTAAATGTGGTAGCTTACCTGCTTGCATGTGAGGTGCCACGTTTCTTATCAACACTAAACGTGACAGGTAGGTTACCATGTTTAAACGTGACATGTTGGGTGCCACGTCTCTCTGCATTAGCCTGATAATAAGTTTGTCCAAGAGCTTAATCCGATCAATTTTTTTGAAAAATGAATTGGTACGGTCAAAAACCCCACCTTAGTCATCATTAACAATGGACATTTTAAATAAAAAATGATTTTTAATTTATCTAAAAAAAATAAATAGAATTTTTTCTTTTTTCTTGGTTAAAAAGTCCATTTTTATCACTACACGATTAGTACCTAGGATATTTTCGAGTTAACTTTTTTATTTGAGATATTTCAATTGGTTCATTATTTTATGACTAGTCCGATTCGGAGCAGGTTTCGAGATTAAGATTTTAAACATCTCCCAAAGACGATATTGGAGAGTATCGAATACATACTCTCACCTCTCAGTTCTCCAGCTCCAATTGAGCTACGTACCATCATTTGGTATTTTCGAGTTAAGTTTTGTATTAATTGAGTTTAACTTTTTTTGTCTAGCAATTTTAAAGAGAATCCCCAAATCAGTTTGCTGCATTTAGCAAAATAATTTTTTAAATATTAGCTCAAGGTTCAAATGATCAAAATCCATTTAGTTTTGTTTTCATTTATCCAATTTGTTATCAGTCGTACTTTTTGCAATTTTCCTTTTCACACAATTGCTTTAATTTATATATGCTCTTATTAAACAATACTGCGATGCTTTTTTCTTAAAAAGCAATTATATTTAATTGCTTAAATCTTATTTTTACAAATTCTTTACAGAATGTCCATGCAAGTCATTAGATGAAATCGATTGTATTTTTTAAATGGTCCAAACGGCTTGTCCATTTTGAAGTTAATGAAGTAATTGTGAGGATAAGTATGTATCGTGTTATTTCTAAACTTATTTATCGTCATTTACATCATGATTTGATTTTTTAATGCATTTGTCTCTGAAAAAAAAAAGTATAATACTCTATAATGCACTGATACTTCAAAATACCAAACGTGTTGTATCCGACATTTTTCGACACTCTGACACTTTCCGTCACTCCCATATAAGTTTCAGAGACTCAAAAAAAGGTTTGAATGTTGCGTTTTGTTGTATTTTTAATTCCAACTATTTGATTCGTTGAATTATGATTACCAATTTATTGAGTTTAATATAAATATTTGAAATATTTTTTCTTTTGAAAATTGATGGATATTATAAGTTTAACTTCATTTTTTTTTGTTAAATTATTAAATATTAAATATAATATATACTACATAAATAAAAAAAATTATTTAAATTTACAAAAAAAAAAAAAATATATTATTTAATATCGAAACATGTTCTAATATGTCAAAATATAATATTTTTTAAAATTAACGAATCAAAATATTATATCATATCTCATATTCTATCGGTGCAACATAAATAAGAGCTAAGATATTCTAACTACCTATTTTTTCTACTACCACTCCACTACCACTCTAATCACCATTTGATTAAAGGAAAAGTTGAATGAAGAGAGAGAAAAAAAAATAACTTTTGAATCCAATGGTGATTAAAGTGGTAGTGGAGTGGTAGTAGAAAAAATAGGTAGTAGGAATATCCTACCTCCATAAATAATACTTATAACAGGTTTTAAAGAGATGCAGCATTTTTAAATGGGAAATGTAAGTCTGTTGGAGAAATAAAGTTTCTCCATACATCCGTGTGCCAGCTTTTTTTTTTTCAAAAAAAAAATTGTCGGCGTCACATATTTGTCTCAGCTGCATATAATACAGTAATGCACTATCTCTAGTAACATGAATTTGTAACTCTATTTTTTTTTATTTTTTTTGTAAACAACTCCGTTTTTAAATATAAGTAAACGTATTTTGGTTTGAGACACTTTTAAATCAGTGAAAACTTTATTATAGGTAAATGAAATTAATGTTTTTCATGTTATAGGAGATAATTTTATCTCTTACACAAACATAATAGCGTGTGAAGTCAATATTTTCTTTTTCTTTTTCTTCTTTTCACATGGACTCTACATACTTTAATATGTGTAGGAGATAAAATTATCTCCTATAATATAAGAAACATTAATTACTAAGTAAATATAATATTTTTATATTATTTTTTCCACCAAAATTACAATGAACAATAAGTAAGCCATGTCAATTTCAGCTATTCTTAACAAGAGCAGGGAAAAATATAGGCATGAAATTACCTACGCAAATAATAACTATATCAAATATCAACATTTGAAGTCAAGTTATAAATATTTGTAGGAACTTGTGGTAATTGACATCTTAAATTATAGAGCCCAAAATATACAGACCCGTGATTGACTGAGTTACTTTCCAGATGTGATGCACCAAAAAACTTCTCCCATGTGATGTTGAGAATCTCGACAGTACCTTAATTCCTAGTCAAGCCAAGCAAGCTATAAAAAATAAAAATAAAATAAAAAATTGTTGCTTATGTAACATGTTATTTCCTTCTTCTTTTTTAGTGCTCTTCTTGATTTTTTTAATTCGCACTACTTGTCTACTTATTCTAATTAACCAGTTAAGTGTTAGTTTTTTAATTAGCCGCGCGGGGGAAACAAATAATGAAAGACATTGTTTACTAATTGCACGTCCCAACTTCTTTTTATACATTTTTTTCTGAAGTTTAAATGCAAATATCAAGTTATAAGAATAATGAGTCTTACATTTGCATCTGAAGATTTATCTAATTAATAAATTTAAATAGTTCAATGTAAGTAAAATTAATTAGTAAATATAAATATAAGTTAATCATTACTCAAATTTAAATAGAGAAACCAGAATATAAAAATGGGAAAAGTTTAAAAATTCACTTATGGTTTTGTTTTGAATTGCTTACTCTTATGCTCCTTTTTTAATCACTTACCCTTTATGCTTTTTTCTATCCAAATTCATTCTTAACAGTTAACATTATTATAAACTTTACAAATCTACTTATTTTATCCTTTTTAGAAGAAGAAAATAAATTAATAATAAAAAATAGAATCAAATATGTAGGAAACTTACAAATTGATTTCCAATATAAAGAAGAAAACACAGAGAGCAAAAAACAGACCAAATATACTAAAAACTTACAACAGTGATAAAAAAATACTAAAGTAAAAAGTAAAATAAAAATAGTCTTAATCAAAAAGAAAAACAATAGATTGAAGTAAAAAAATAAGACAAAAAAATAATAATAGAAGAAACAAAAAATCAGCATTGTAAGTTTATTTTCTTCTTATCAGAAAAGTAGATAAATTAATTTAATTTCTCACAGTGTCAAGAATGAGTTTGGATAAAAATAAAATACTATACGGAGTAAGTAATTTAAAGCAAAACCATAAGAGAATTGTTGAACTTTTCCCTATAAAATTATAATTTCTTACATTAGATATGGATTAGTACATATTCCTTTCAGAATTTTAAAGAAAAAATATATAGTTAGTTCTTTAAAAGTACACAAACATGATATTGATTCCTAAAAGTTGTAGAAATAAATTTGATCCCTTACCGTTTTTAGATAGATATCAATCTAGTCTATTCATTTATATTTGAATATATCGATTTGATTCTTAAATCAGTATCTCATATATTTTTCGGTGGCCGCTTTGAGTATTAAAAAAAATTTAACAGCCACTTTTTTTTAAAAGTGACTGGGAATTAGGGGTATAAATAAGTTAGGTTAGTCTAGATTTTGATTTAAATAGGTCAGATCTTGTAAAAAATATTGGGTCTGGCATGGCCTGATAGCCTATGTATGTCTCAAATTATAAGTCTGACCTATATATAATTAAAAAATAAAAGTCTTGGTCTGAGCCTATTAGCCTGTTTAAACTATTAAACATTTACAAGTAAAAGAATAATTAAAATAATATTATTTTATAATTCAAAATTATTAAAATAATAATATCATTTATTTTATTTAAAATAAATAATTAGATATAGACCGACTTGTAGGCTTAACATGTATAAAAAAATCTATGATTTGTTTTCTAAATAATTTTTTTCAAAAACCTAAACCTATTCTATTTTATTATTTATAATAAGCAAAATTTAACCAAATATAAACTAGTTCGTAGATTTTTATAGATTGACCTAACCAAATGCCTCAACTTTCAAATGTTTA